CCTCCGTGAGTTGCTTAAGCACGAAATGTGTAGCACACATGCCGAAACGGGATCCATTTCTTACCCCTTGGATGATCGACCTGCCAATTTGGAAAGGACTGCACGTTGACCCAAGTTGAGTCATCATTCTGGGAGCTGTGCAGAGCTGTAGCTCTAAAAACAAATTCACAGGTGGAAAGTCAAACTTCAATGCTGCATATACTAATCATGCCCACGCCACCGCATCATAGAAGGACTGTATGTCTAAAATCGCATGCGCATATGAAACCCCCAGCACTCCGTAGATATCCTCATAGACTGTCTTGAGGAAAGCTTCTCGGAGTGCTGAGTTCCCTGCCAGTGCTGCGTCCCAGCTCTCGCTGGACTCAACCGTCCAAGGTTGCATGATATCTTATCGAATAAGTGACCAGATTCTGCATATCGTACAACTTAGTCCAATCACTGTGTCTCCATGGGCCTTCTTGGGGAGAAGGCGGCCCTCGACGACAAGAAGTTGCCAGGGCCCTGTTAGCTGCTCTTCAACTTGATTATAGAAGTCAACCAACCCGGCTCGCGCCGACTGAGGGAGCCTCTGGACATCAGCGGGAGTGAGTCTGTCCACTCCGAGCCCAGCGCGAGGTGTCATTCGCCTCGCTGCCACATCCAGTTGACTCACCTCGATCGTCGGAAGCGTCGCCGTCTCGGATGCCTCCCTAATCTTCTGAAGTAGCTGCGCTGTACCTTCAATATCAACTTTATCTGGAGCCCACAAACGATGCCAATACTGTACTTTGTGATCGACCACGCCCACGGGGTGGTACAGGGTCTGGCCGCTCTTGGTAGTGATCTCGTCCACCGTGAGCGGCATCTCCCTGAGGCTGCGAAAATGGGCACCTTTAGCTTCTGCCGTTGTGGCCCAAGAGCGAAGCTCGGAAAGATACTCGCACAAGGCCTTACTCTGTGCTCTGTTGGCAAGCCGAAAAGCCGCTTGCTCCAGATACGTCAAAATATTCACCGATGCTTTGCTGATATTTGTGAGTGAGCCCACCCAAGTCTCCCACGAAGGATCGTCGTCACGGAATCCACGAGCAACTCCGTCGGGGTAGGTGGTCGCTAACCTCCAGCACGCGTGGTGCACGGTCTTCTGCTGCGTCTCACCGTTGCCTTTCTGCCGATGCTTCAACAACTGCTGCAGAACTGTATGTGCTTGCAACCACCGCCCAGCGATGATGCCACGAACGGCAACTGCTCTGACTTTGTTGGGTATGTGCACTTCTTTGACACGCAAGGACGGCCCTTGTGCTCTCCCAAGTGATGCAGCTACTGACTTTGGTAACTCGTTGTCACTTGGCCTGTGGTGGGCAACAATCGTCCTTTCAGCTGCAGTGACCCACGTGGCGAATGTGGCGCTGACTGCCAGGGCTGGCTTGAGCCCGCCAGCCAAAACGGCTACAGATTGTGCTATGGGAGGCCAAATGCACTCTTCCGTCTGATGCTGAATGTCGATCTGACCTCGTTCTGTGAGCCAGGTACTCTCAGGGATGTGAAACGAGGGCCCTCCAGACTCCCCATCATTGGTGAACCCTACCGTGCTCCCAGGGGGGCTCTCCAAAGGGGGGTTCGGGGTGGCTTTAAACTGCACTCTTGTGATACGCTCGGGATTGTAAAATGTGACCTCTCTGCTTACTGCAGGGGGCGGCCCAAGGTGGTGAGAGGGAGGCCCAGCAGCAGCAGCAGCCGAGGGAGCAGCGGACGAGGAGGGGGGAGAGCACGGCACATGCCTGAACTCCGTATCGTCCGCCCAAGGGTCTTCATCGGGGCCCGATTCCCATCCTTCGGCCGGCTCACCCTGCAGCAGCAGGTCGTGATCTAAAGGGCGTTCCTCGGGGGGCGCTGTGGTCTCGGGATCATCCCCAAACAGAGAGTTATAGAGTGAAACCCTACGCTCGACAGCGGCCCGTTGCTTCTCAGCATGCTGTTTCCGAGACTCAGACGATTTTGACCCAGGAATGGCTTCGCGCTTCGGCCGCCCTGCCTGGGGCAGTCTCGCGGGGAGCTCCAGAGCCCTAACCAACAACTGGGACCCCTGCCCGCGGATGCGGATCTGGAATCCAATGTGCGTCTTCCACGGTACTTGCACAACTGGGGTGATGGAGATGAGATAAGGAAGACAATTGTTACTGGCCACAGCGTAATCGATCAGAGAACCTGATGCTCCTGCCGTGCACGTAGTTACAAGGTCTCCTGTGTAGAGCCCCCCTCCAATCGTCGAAACAAAATCCGTCTTTGCGAGAGTCGATGCTGGAATATTGAAATCCCCGATGATGATCCAGGGTAACTGCAGCGCTCGGACCAGACTGCCGAGCTTGTGGTATCGCACCAGATTGTCGCCAGTCATTCCTATCGATGATAGGCCATAAAATACTATGATGACCTAGCTGAAACCCCTGAAGTGCACCACTGTCGCACAGAAGCCGTCGTTTGCGGTCCCACGGCGTGCTTTGAAGCCTCTGTGCTGCGCTGCTGGTAATGCATGTGATTGTCTGTGTCCTCCTGTGAGGAACCACTCTCCACCCTCGTTGGCCCTGGCCTCCATCTCCTGCGACTGGGCCTGGCCTGAGGGTCGCGCATTGTTGGCGATGAGCTTCATGCCCAAGCCTTGCGCTGCTTTGTGCCACTGACGAACGGCATCTGGTGCAACATGTGTCTCCACGAATGCCCAAAACTGGTGCTTGTCTAAATTCACTGATAAGTATTGCCATGCCTGCCTGCGACGTCGTAGCCGACGTCCCCATGCTGGTAATGTTGGCGAAGAAAAGGCTGCATTCCTCGGTGGGCTGCTCGTTCACTCCCTGGGAACTGTCAGCAGTGGTACCTGTTGGAGCCGCACTAGATGTTGATGCCGACGACGTACTCGGACTCGAGGTGCCCCCCACCTGTGACCCCGAACATGCTGTCGTCGACCCTGTCGAAGTAGAAGCTGTAGAAGATGGTGACGCTGAACACTGTGCGCTGGGTGCCACAGTAGCTGCTACGTCTGCTTGTAGTGCTTCGTCGATGCTGATCCTACGGAACAACGCATCGAAGAGGTTCAAAATTTGGGCACTGGTACATGTGCCGTCTTTGGTCGGAGCATCCTGTACCTCTATGTATGGAGGCCCCGACTGTGTCACTCACTTGCCACCATTACCTCCCTTGCCACGGGAAGCCTTGGCGTCTTTGCCCTTCTTGCCGCCACTGCCGCTGGTGCCGCTGCCGCCGACGACCTTGAGGGCCTCCTGCTCGATGAGGGCCGCGGCCTTCGCGGCGGCGATCTTGCTGGCTGAGATGCTGGCTGCGGCCTCCTCGACCTCTGAGTTGGCCGTCGCTGTCACCACCTCGACCTCAGCTGCGGGCGCGGCCAACTCGCCTTCATCAGGCGCTGCTGTGGCAGGGGCCTCGCATGGCTGAGTCCCGTCGTCGCCCTCGGTGGATCCCGCGTCGGCCGTCCCCGTCTTGCGCTTCTTGCCCGACCTCGTGTTGATCGTGTCGTGCAGCGCCTTGGCTCGAGCTATGCGTGTCTTCACGTCCTCGCTCTTCGCAGCCAGCTGCGTCTTGTAGTGCTGGAGCTCCTGGTGAATTTTCAGCAAATCATCTTTCTCTGCTGCCTCAATCCCATCCAGTTGACTCAGACCTTTGAATAAGGTATCATCCCATACGATGTCGAACGCGGCGGACGTGTCGGCCTGCCCACGCTGGCCTTCACCTGATCCGCCTCCCACTTCTTTAGCGAAAGCTGCCGTGGCTTGCTTCCGCTCCAAATCTGCTTGTGCTAAAATCATCGCCGCCTCCTTCTCACGCTGCTGGGCCCTATCCCAGTTGGCCTGACAACGTATGACTGCGGCAGCTGCTTGATCGTGTTTTGCATTGGCATCTCTCCACTGGCCTGAGACACGCTTCAAAGTATCCTCAGTAGTGGGCATCCTGCTTGGTGTCGTGGATGGGTTGAGCTGGGCGCGCAACGCCTCGGTCACCTGGGCGAGATGAGGCGCTGCCACAGATGTGGCCAAACCCTTGATGATCCCCTCCACGACTGCCTGCGTCTGCTGCTGCTGCTGCTGCACCTGGTTCTGCTGATCACGAGCTCCCCGACCAGGCTGGTGCAGTCGATTGCCGTCAAATAGTTGGACGGTATGCCCACACTTGGCACCGCAGCATCTGCGACCCGAGAGGTTATTATTCCAATCCCAGGCACCACAATTGCCACATTTGGACCACTGTGATTGCTGGCCTCGGGTCATGTCGTAGCCGTGTCTTTGCACTGTCTAGCCAACCGCTGTCTGTGACTGTTTGTAAATCGCAGAAAGACGGTGCTCCTCAAGCACTCCGAGAAAGTACAGTGCTGGACTGAGTACGTGCCTCACGCGCGGGGGCGGGAGGACTTGGTGCTCGAGCCCAAGTTGCTTGAGAGGAGGAGGAGGAGGAGGAAAAGGAGGAAGGGGAGGAGGGGGAGGCGGAGGAGGAGGAGGGGGAGGCGGAGGAGGAGGAGGAGGAGGGGGAGGAGGAGGAGGAGGAGGAAGAGGAGGAGGAAGACAGACATCACGACGCGGGGGCCGGGGCAGCTCCCGCCCCCCCGGGGCGCGGGCGGCCCTGGGCGATGCTCGCGCCTTCTCCTGATCCTTGCCCTGCGCGTCCCCCCCCCCCCCCTCCGAGCCTCCCCCCTCGCACTCCCCATCTCTTCCCCCCTCCATTCCGTTCCCGTCGACCCCTCTCTGCATGCCCCATGTCCCTTTTCCCTTTTCCCCTTCCTCATCTTTCGCAGTCCTCCCGCATCTCATTTTCCTCATCTCTGTCCTGTTTCTTCCTCAATCCCTGAGTCCCCCAGTCCCTCCTCCTGGGACTTCTGGTGCCAACGCCTGTTGGAAGGGCTTGGGTCGGCCTCGAGAGGGCCCCGGGAGGAGCAGGAGGAGGAGGCGGTGGAGGTGCGGTCGCGTCGCGAAGAAACTTGGGGCGAGAGCGCTGAAGCTCAGACGTGCCCGCAGGCTTGGTTAAGGCGGTGCGACCAGATGCTGGATGCACTGGGCGAGGCTTCTCGCGCGATTGCCTTGCCTCTGTCCAATCCGCTTCTCTATACTGCGCCAGCCCCAACGACTTCACACATTTTCTTGGACGGCGATCGTGTTGGGCACCGTCTTTCTCTCCACACCGTCTTGGGTGATCCCTCTGTTCTGACCCCTGACTGCAGGTGCGCTTAATGCACGAGACAATGTGTGATAGCACAGTTACAGCATCATTTGGCCATTGCCAGCTGCTGGTTTCTTGTCCGCCACAGAGCACGGACTGTGCATTAGCTTGTCACATGTTGGTTGTAACCCTTGCAGAATTGGTTCGCTTGGCTATGACATTGCCGCAGGTTGAACCGAAGCCAAGTATTCCTGTTGCGCATTGGAGGAATGCGTACGCTGGGCCGTTTGGAACTCCGACGAATGACATTGCGATGGGGGAGCGTCACGTCGATGCAGTACATGTGCACTGTTGATTGATTCCTGTCAGCGCGTGATGCCTCCTAGCCATACTGCATGATGCTTCAGATGGGCTTGAATATAGTGCGTGATGAGTTGCAGCATTTGCTTGATTAGTATCTGCATCAACGTGAATCGTTGTACATCGATATACTCATCTGTACGGTACCGCTCGTTTGAGAAGGGATTGTGATTCGCTTAGACATGGTAGTCGCGTGATCCGCAAGTGGCATGTCAAGACGGGAAGTTCGCGAAGGCAACAAGCCACTGAGGGTGCATCAGCTAGTCAGAGACGGTCCAAGGTTGTCCACAAAATGCGTCACGCTTGGTACGCTTTTGATCCAGACTATATTATGCCCTGCCTCGATACAGCATCGCGACACCGTGGATGCAACGCCGCCCCACCACCTGATACCATCGACCTCCCTTCGCACGACCGAGTAAGCATCAAGACATCACTGGGACACCGTCGGCACACCGTCAGGGCATCACCGTCGGCACACCGTCAGGGCATCATCGGGACACAAGACATCACAGCATCGGGACACCATCGCTTCCATTGAGGCACCCTCGGGTCTCCACCGATCCGTCCATCGGGGCACCGCCAGAACAATATACATGGTTCGTTTCTAATTCTTCGAAGGTTCTTTGATTTTTTGGGGGGCAAGATGCTCTCGTTTCTGGTTATTCTATCCTGGGCCTCTTCCTGGCCAGTAGGGGGCCAGGAACAACTAGAAACGAGCACACTTAGAACTGAGCACGATTCGAGTCAACCCGCACAGTTGGATCTGCAACCTTCCCAGGGGTACCCTTGCATCCTTGCCTTCTCGGCCCATCCTTGGCCAGTTTCGTTGGCTGCGCCCCGCTCGAAAAGCTTCGAACTGAGCGTCCGAGGCCCTTGCATCCTTATCGCGCATCCTTACTCTACGGGCTGACTGTAGACATGAACGACGTTCAGGAGGGAAAAAACACACAGACAAAATATGCATCGTCGACTCCCAGGAAAATATGGGAAAATATGGGAAGTGGGGGGGAAGACAAAAAAACAGAACATTGGAAAATATGGGGATTTGTTTTATCTGTGTGTATTTATTTGTGTGTCCCAGGCCCCACGACGGCCTCAGGGAGGCCCAAGAGAGCCTCGTTCGAAATCATGTTCCCGGAAGCCTCTCCAGGAACATGATTTCCGGGTTCCCAGGACGCCCAAAGACAGCCCCCAGAGGCCCGGGACACGCCGAAGATGGACTCAGGACGGCCGACGACGCCGCCAAAACGCCCCAAGAGCGCCTCCAGAGGCCCTCCAAAAGGCCCCAGAAGCCGAAAATCACTAATTTTCCAATGGTTTTTGAAGCATTATTGCGCTCTCCTATGTTCCGCCTCCCCACGGTCCCGGACCGCGTCAAAGGCCCTTCAGATCGCTCCAAGACGGCCGAAGGGGCTCCCAAGAAAGTCCAGAGACGGCCCAGGAGGCTCCCCAGATAAGTCAAGAGGGCCTCGAGAGCGCCTCAAGAGAGCCCCAAGAGGGACCCGAGAGGGCCCGAAGAGCGCGACTTTTCGAGGTCCCTGGCCTGAGAGGCCGGAGGCCATCAAGAGGCTCCCAAGAAGCCCCGTGAGGCTCCCAAGAGGCCCCCAGGGAAGCCCCCTGCGGGCCCCTAAGACACTTCAGTGAATCGTGTTTCCCAAATAGCTTTCCGGGAACATGATTCCTTGGGCTTGCGCCCACCGCCCCAACCATGCTTCCTATAGGCTTGCCGACAAGGCCAAAAGGCGCCCCTCGGTAAGCCCCCAGAGGCCCCCCTCTTAGAGAGCCGAACAAATCATGCTCCCAGAAAGCTTCCCGGGAACATGATTCTCTATCTCGGAGTAGGCCTGGGGGGGGGGCAGGCCGCTGCCTGTTCCCCCCATCTGTGCCCTGCAGGGGTTGCGGGGGTGGGTCCAGAGCTCCCGAGGCGACCCGAGCCCGCGCCGAAGCAGGCCACGACAGGCTAAGGGGGTCCCGAGAGGACCCAAGACGGTCCCACGAGGCCCCGAAGACGCCCAAGATGCCCTCAAGACAGCCGACGAGGACTCCAACACGCTCCAGGACGGACTCAAGAGGCTCCCCAAGAGGGTCCTGGAAGGCAAAAGATTCACTCGTTTTCCGAGTGCTTTGGATTTTGGCGTTCCCGCTTTTCCCGTTTTCCAGCGCTCCCTCACTGCCTCGGAGGCCCTTCAGATCGCTCCAAGAAGGCCCACGAGGGCCCCAAGACGGCCCAGGATGCACCCCAGACAACCCAAGTGTGCCCCAAGAGTGCGCCAAGAGAAGGCCCAGAGGGGTCCCGAGGCGGCCCGGGCCCGCCCCCGACAGGCTAATGGAGGTTCCGAGAGGGCCCTAGACGGTCCCAAGAGGCCCCGAAGACGCCCAAGATGCCCTCAAGACAGCCGACGAGGACTCCAACACGCTCCAGGACGGACTCAAGAGGCTCCCCATGGCACGGATGGCTTTCGCCGGGGTTGGCTTTCGCCGGGCTTCGTTTCGCCGGGCTTCGTTTCGCCGGGCTTCGTTTCGCCGGGGTTGGCTTTCGCCGGGGTTGGCTTTCGCCGGGGTTGGCTTTCGCCGGGGGTTGGCTTTCGCCGGGGCTGGCTTTCGCCGGGTTGGCTTTCGCCGGGTTGGCTTTCGCCGGGGTTGGCTTTCGCCGGGGTTGGCTTTCGCCGGGTTGGCTTTCGCCGGGGTTGGCTTTCGCCGGGTTGGCTTTCGCCGGGGTTGGCTTTCGCCGGGGTTGGCTTTCGCCGGGGTTGGCTTTCGCCGGGGCCGGGCGGGGAGCAGGCGGGGCAGGCTCAGGGGCAAAAGTAGGCGCCGCCGTCGCTGGCGTGGCCGTCGCCGCCGCCGTGCTGACCCCTGGGAGCCTTTGAGGCGCGCCGCTTGAGTAGGCGAAAGGGTCGCAGAGACGTGGGGGGGGGGGTCAAGGAGGTCCCAGATGTCAAGGAGGGTCTGAGATGCGTCAGAACGGGACGCTAAAAAATGCGGGGCGCGCTCAAGTGGGCACGCGTGAGCCCCAGCGTGCGGGCTCGATCGGGTGGGCGGACCCTAACGGGCGGGACGGGTCGAGCGGACCCTCACACGCGGGCCGGGTCGGGCGAGCGGATCCTAACGGGCGGGGCGGGTCGCGCCGGGTCGGGCGGACCCTAGCGGGCGGGTCGGGTCGGGCGGGCGGGACACTAAAGTGTGGGGCGCGCTCGAGTGAGCACGCGTGAACCCTAACGGGCGGGTCGGGTCGGGTCGGGCGGACCCTAACGGGCGGGGCGGGTTCGGGTCGGGCGGACCCTAACGGGCGGGTCGGGTCGGGCAGGCGGGACACTAAAGTGTGGAGGCGCGCTCGAGTGAGCACGCGTGAACCCTGACGGGCGGGTCGGGTGGGGCAGGCGGACCCTGGCGGGCGAAGCGGGTCGGGTCGGGTCGGGCACCCTAACGGGCGGGTCGGGTCGGGCGGGCGGGACACTAAAGTTTAGGGCGCGCTCGAGTGAGCACGCGTGAACCCTAACGGGCGGGTCGGGTCGGGTCGGGCGGACCCTAACGGGCGGGACGGGTAACGGGCGCGCTCGAGTGCGGCGTGAACCCTCGGGCGGGTCGGGTCGGGTCGGGCGGACCCTAACGGGCGGGCGGGTCGGGTCGGGCGGAGGGCGGGTCGGGTCGGGCAGGCGGGACACTAAAGTGTGGAGGCGCGCTCGAGTGAGCACGCGTGAACCCTGACGGGCGGGTCGGGTCGGGTCGGGCGGACCCTAACGGGCAGGGCGGGTCGGGTCGGGTCGGGCAGACCCTAACGGGCGGGTCGGGTCGGGCGGGCGGGACACTAAAGTGTGGGGCGCGCTCGAGTGAGCACGCGTGAACCCTAACGGGCGGGTCGGGTCGGGTCGGGCGGACCCTAACGGGCGTGACTGGTTCGGGTCGGGCGGACCCTGACGGGCGGGTCGGGTCGGGCAGGGCGGGACACTAAAGTGTGGGGCGCGCTCGAGTGAGCACGCGTGAACCCTGACGGGCGGGCCGGGTCGGGTCGGGCGGACCCTAACGGGCGGGATGGTTTCGGGTCGGGCGGACCCTAACGGGCGGGTCGGGTCGGGCAGCGGGACGGGGACACTAAGTGTGGAGGCGCGCTCGAGTGAGCACGCGTGAGCCCTGACGGCGGGTCGGGTGGGGCGGCGGACCCTGGCGGGCGAAGCGGGTCGGGTCGGGTCGGGCAGACCCTAACGGGCGGTCGGGTCGGGCGGGGCGGACACTAAAGTTTAGGGCGCGCTTCGAGTGAGCACGCGTGACCCTGACGGGCGGGTCGGTCGGGTCGGGCGGACCCTAACGGGCGGGACGGGTTCGGGTCGGGCGGGGCGGGTCGGGTCGGCAGGCGGGACACTAAAGTGTGGAGGCGCGCTCGAGTGAGCACGCGCAATCCTGACGACGGTCGGGTCGGGGCGGGTCGGGCGGACCCTAACGGGCAGGGCGGGTCGGGTCGGGTCGGGCGGGACACTAAAGTGGGGGCGCGCTCGAGTGAGCACGCGTGAACCCTAACGGGCGGGTCGGGTCGGGCCGGACCCTAACGGGCGGGACGGGTTCGGGTCGGGCGGACCCTAACGGGCGGGTCGGGTCGGGCAGGCGGGACACTGTGAGGCGCGCTCGAGTGAGCACGCGTGAACCCTGACGGGCGGGTCGGGTGGGGCAGGCGGACCCTGGCGGGCGAAGCGGGTCGGGTCGGGTCGGGCAGACCCTAACGGGCGGGTCGGGTCGGGCGGGCGGGACACGCAAAGTGAAGGAGTGAGCGTGAACCCTAACGGTCGGGTCGGGTCGGGCGGACCCTAACGGGCGGGACGGGTTCGGGTCGGGCGGACCCTCACGGGCGGGTCGGGTCGGGCGGCGGGACACTAAAGTGTGGAGGCGCGCTCGAGTGAGCACGCGCGAACCCTGACGGG